CAAATGGTGTATAACATGTAGTAGCAAAGATATTTTACAAGCAGTTATTTTCTTTGATAAATGTTGGCTTCATCTACCACACAATAGTCTCTGGGAACTTAGTGTCCCAGCAGTAAACCCTACTGGTTGACTGGTGTTGAAAGAGTTAATAGATTAAACAATGTGGGGAACCATGCTCTGCTGGGCCAGATTGGTGCTATCAAGATTATTATGCACTCCGTCTCCTCCACCTTGTGGATGACTTTGTCTAGGAGAGACCATGGTGGGAATGCGTATGCAAATAGACCCGTCCAATCCATCGATAGCGCATCGATCTGCTGAGCTATTGGGTCGGGAACTGTGGACTGACATAAACCGGAAGTCAATGGTTCTGGCAGGTGATCTAGGTGACCTGGTTATGGGACACTAAGATCTGGGGATGTAAGGTCCATTATGTTGCTACTATTCTCCCCTAGCTGTAGGCAAGGATGTTAAACTTCCCGGGAATATGGAGTCTGCCACGGCAAACAGTCATGTAGTCTCCATCATCAGAGAACTGGATCTGGTTCCTCCTTGTTTCTGAATGTATGCCTCTACTGTGGTGTTGTCCCTGGCTATGAGGATAGGTGATTGGGAAAGACATATCTTCCATGCCAGGATGGCGTAATAGATGGCCTCCATTTCATTGCAGTTGATATGTAGGATCCTCTCTCCGGTGCTCCAAGATCCTTGTACCGTGAGATCGTCCATATAGGCTTCCCATCCTGAATCTGACGCGTCTGTGAATAGATGGTGTTAAGGCTTCGGAGAAGTCAGAGGAATGCTGCTCATCACATGCTCTCTGTGAGTCCACCAATGCACGTTCTGTAATAAGTTGAGAGGTAAGTTAATCTTGAACTCTTAGGTGTGGGATCATTGTGAACTGATCCATGTATGTAACATCAACCTTCCTCTGAAGGTAATAACCGGTAGAGATGTTAGGTTGCCTAGAAGAGACATCCACCACCTTAGAGACCTGCTGGGTTGACTTGGTAGGGATTGTATCATAGTAATAGTCTTGACAAATCGATCTTCTGGTGGACATATATATCCCTTGTGTAGTTGGAAACTCACTCTGATGTAAACGATGTCTTGACCCGGAGTGGTCTCAGGCTTGGAGTGATTGACTAGGAAGCCCAGATAGGTCATAAGCTGGACCAGAAATAGCATGTTCTGGTGTAGCTCATCTTCTTCATGGTCAGCTGCCAGAAAATCAGCCAGGTAGCCATGGATGCGTACTAGGTGGAGGTTGGCAAACCTGATGATTGGTGCTGTAATCCTGGTAAACAGCCAATGGGCTATTGATATCCCAAATGGTAAGACCTGGAACTCGTAACATTGACCATTGATTGCGAAGCAAAGGTATTTCAATCGTGATGGGTGTATCGGGATGTGAAGATGGGGGTCTTGTAGGTCGAGGCTGATGAGCAAATCTCCTGTCCTCAAAGTCGACCGCAATTCCATACAGATTCCATCTGGAACTATGGAAGAGGTACCAGAAATTTCTTGTTGAGGATCATCCTCATGTCAGGCGAATTCTTTTTTGGAACTAAGAATACTGGAGAATAAAAGCCTTTGGTCTTGTTGCTCTCTGATAGTTTCCGAAGGGCTAACTTCTTTAGTAGCTTCCTGACAGCCAGATCTGCTGTGCTAGCTTGGCTCTGACACGACAAAAGCTGCGTCCAACGGCTTGAGATTTCAGTATGGGATGCTTCTTGAAATGCAGTTTTTATCCATGAGCCACGACGGCTAGGACCCAGCGGTCGGGCGTAATCTGCTTCCAATTTTCGGTGGCTGACAGAAGACGCCCTCCCACTGGCCCTGGAGTCAGCATTATGTTGAAGGATGGTAGGCGTTAATTGCAGTCAGTAGACGTAACCATGTCGAAAGGGTCCATAACGGCGGAATGGGTGGCAAGGAACTCAGAACCTGCGTTCACCTCTGCCCCCGGATCTGTCCCGGCAATAGGATCCTCGTTTCTTATAGTTGGACAGATGAAAAGAGCACTGAGAAGACTGACGCTTGTCGTACCCCCGACTCAGTTGGATGAATGAATCCTTCCCCGAGGGGACAAACTTCTTCTCGGGTGGTTGTTTATATGACGAGTCCTTCTGAACCAAGGAACGCTTCTGGGATAGGAAGATCCATGTGCCTTGGCAGCTAGGTTGATAGTTGATGTTTGAAATCGTTCTGGTGTATCATGTCTGATCTTGTCTATGACATGTCCCAAATTGCCACTGAACGTCTTGGGAGCACATATTGGTTGTGACATTATTAATCTCTTCGTTTGTGTTTGAAACAGCTTTTGAACGATTCTGTGCTAGTAGTTGTTGACGCTGAACACAGAGAAGCTGTGAAGACATCCAGACTTGGGTGGAGAGTAAGTCTTCTTACATTCTGACTATGGTGTCTAGTAGGGCTGCAACAAATACACTATGAGGCGAATCTGTTTCGTATCATGAATATAGGGTAGCGAATAAGAATATTAATTCACGAATACAATAACAAGTCAGCAGTTGATGTATTATTTGTTATATTCAGCATGTTCAGTGAGGCAACAACAACATAGATTATTTGACATGGTTTGTTAATTATTAATATATTATTAATATATTATTCATTTATATACTGCACTTATACAGGTACTAGTATATGCTCAAATACAACAATGACCAGTGACCACAATACTGTCAAATTAAATAGTATAAGTGTTGTCTTTTGAAGAAATCAAAGCATAAAATATGTTCTTATGGGTATTTTTTTATGTAAATGCATATGCTTGCATATTCATAAATATTCGATTCGAGTGGCCACGAATAACAAATTCAATTCAAGAATGGATACGGTTCGATTCACTGAATACGTGAGTAAATCGTAACAGCCCTAGTGTCTAGCAGGCTGAGAATGAGTCCGACTTGATCCGTCCTAATATTCATACAAGTATCTCCGGATATGCCTTTATATGATGTCTGCAACGGTGGAATGATGTGCCTGATTCCGGCGACAAACCAGTTGATATAAGCGCCAATGTCCATTGAATGTCTGGACGTGATGGACAGGTGCTTGATCCATGAAGCAGGTAACGTGACATTAGTATTAGGGTTGCGTACTGGCTTCATAAAGTCTTCATCCAAAAACTTGATGATCCGGAAGTGGAGAATCATGTATTTTATACAACTTCCACTTCAATGTGGGTAAGGGTAGCCGGTCATCATGTCTGAGCTTAAGTAGATTTTCAGACCCCTGATCTACCGGCCTGCCTGCATAACTTGGCCTGTCTGGTGGATGTGTTGAGATGATGTAGGAACATGACATCCTCCGTATTCTGGCATCTTAGGTGGTGAATTTTTGGTCATTGGAGGTTGGAGTACAGGCATAAGATGATACAATTCTTCAATGAGTTCAACAAAGCTGTATCCTTCTGTATAATTGCACTGGGGTGAATCATCAGCCTGATTAACCTCTTCATATAGGTCCGATTCCACCTCAGAATGACCGTGGGTGACTCCCGGGAGGGGAGGATGTTTGTCATAATCCATACACTCAACATGTTCCCTGTGCGGTTCATCATCTGCTGGTGGCCAGGATTTTACTATGAGTAAGGTCCGTGCAGCTTGTGATGACTGCCTGTGTATAACGGAGCCCTTACGGGAATGATGGTCCTCCATCTGGACAGTCCCATGATGTAATCTTCGTCTCGGTCGGCTGGACGGTCCCGTGCAGTCCGAGCGGTCAGCTTGGGTACTGTCAGTTGATGGATCTTCCGTGACAATAAAAAGGCCACACTTCTTACAAGCAGAAGTGGGAGACTCCATTGCGACCTCACAAACACCTCGCACCAGGTTTGTACTCACGTGAGTACGATAGTCACTATAATAAGCAGCTATTGATATAGACTTAATATGTCTGTTTTAAGAAAACTTATGGAACAATCTAAGATTAATGTGACTAATACCAAGTGATAGGTAGTTACAACTATAACAATAGGTGTTGACTCTAGCACACACAGGAAAGAAGTGAGGTTCCCGCCATTACGAACATCATAGCTTGGGTTGCTATAGTGCTATATTGGGAACAACTAATTGTGTAATCGACAGTGAAGAGGATGTCTGTTGATAATCTGAAAATTTTAGTTTGTGTGATTAAAGCCAAAATACAGGATTTATGGCAAAGATGTTATAGAGGTAGAGGATTCGCAAGAATTATACATTTTAGTGTCATGTCATATCACCACAAAAGGTATATATTATAAGGCAATAAAGGTGCTGCAAACCTGACAAATAACTATTTTATTATCCCCTGCCACAAAGTGAGAGGGGCACATAGGAATGGGTGCTGTCTGTCCATGAGTCTGTTCGTCCATTCAGCAATCACATTTAGTTTCCAGAGTATAAATTGGAAACCATTTAATATTTTTTTACTTAACAAAAATTCAGGTTTCTTTCATTACCAGGGCGTACCTTTACAACCAGATGGGTTGTTTCTGGATCATATATCCATATTTCTTTTAATATCTTCGATGAAACTTTATACTCATATTAACGAAATACTGAAATTGTTGTGCTATGTTGGATTTTCGAAAAAAAAGATCTGCACATGGTTGTCAAAGAACCGATACCATAATTACCTAATTGAGAGGCATACTACTTGACAAAGGAACTTGTACAAGGTATATATATGGTGAATTATTGTGAAGAAAAACACAAACCACAATTTACAAAGGGCATCTGAACCAGCCTACTTCCTAACAGTGGGTTTAAATATTTTCACATTGAAGTTTCAGTGAAGTTGTCAAGATTGAGTTTTTGTATAAAAAAGATTCTGAAGTTAGTCTCCCTTTCTCCATGTATATGCACTACTATATGAACTAATTTCTAATGTGCCCCATGGTAGGGGGATAGTGAAGTGATAGAAGTGATAAGAAGTAAATGGAGACAAATTACAAAGCAAGCAAAATATCATGGAAGTACACATCTACATACCTGTCCATACAGCCTTAAATCCCTTCCAGGTATAATATCCATCCGTAGTAAACACAACACGGTAGTAGACGGCTGACTGGACAATGTAGCCCCGTCTGTCTCCACTTAGCTGGACAAGGAGGTTGTCGGAGGCGTCATAAACCTGCAGATTACAAATGGAGTCATTACATGTAAATCTACATCATGTAGGTCTAGGAAATGAAGATTTTTCTGGATTTATCTGTTTTTCTTTTTCGTTTGTTGTTTTACTCCACATTTCTATTAGTATAGGACATTTTTGACAATGAGACGTCTCAAAATTAAATACTGGGTACATTTTGAACGGTCCACATGAATTCACAGCTATACACAAATAAAAATACCAATAATAACTACAAATTCCTGTGTTAGGTCTCAAACATGATGATAGCTTATAGACAATGAAGAGGACTTGTTGAAAATCTAAAGATTTTAGTGTGATTACAGCCAAAATAGAGGATTTCAGGCATTGATGTAATTAAGGTATTGTATTTGTAAGAATTATTTCCAATGATAGCACACCTGTCCAGGACATGCCCAGACTACCTCTTCAGAGGCATCCCGTCAGACAAAGGAGACCGCCCAAGCATTTTGATGACTACGTTACTGATTTTTAATATCACAGTGTGCCAAAACATTTATGTTGCAGTGTTTTCTTTTGTGTGATGGAAAGAAGTGTCTCAAACAGTTCATGCATTCGATGGTAAAAGAAGATCAGACATGGTTAGCATTCGTGTTTATCTGTGACAACTTCCCACTGGTGACATTTTAGTTAACTTGGCAAGTGGTGATGAATTTTGACATTCATAGTATTATAATCTGTCAAACTGTATATAAATGTGTGTGTTAAATCATAAATATTCAAAGGGACTGTTCCCAACACCCATCAATATCTTAATGAATGAACATTAGTTTATTGTATGGATTATAGAAAGATCTCACTCTGTATATGATCTAGACTCAGTGATATCATGGATGCGTTTAGCTCATAGGTTCAGGAAGAAATGGAGGTATTTATGTATATTGGTCCAGTCTTTGTGATAACGTAAGCTTGTAATGGTTTATCAAAGAGATGTTCGCACAGTTTAATCACAATGACATCGTAGGTAAAAAGACTGACAATATCAGTTGTTTTAACTCTTTCAACACCAGTCAACCAGAAGCGTTTACTGCTGTGACACTGAGTTTCCAGAGACTCTTGTGTGATAGCATCTTCCTGAGGCATGAGAATTAACTGACTTTAAAAGTCCAGTTGCCAGCCTTGCCGAACTAGGCTGGAATTCCTGGCATGATCGTAGCGCCACCAGTGGTTATTATGAGTTATGTCCCTTCTAAGCCTCTCCTATGGACCAATCAGATTCCATCGCTTGCATTTGTTTCAAGGAAAATCAAGACGATCTGATCGATAATCAAGATCTATATTGTGATAAAACGGGTCTTACATCGCAAAGTGCATCAAATCACGTGAGCACCTTGATTAAAAACATGAAAAGGTTTGGAAAATCTGTTGACAACGAGTTGGCAGTGCACATGCTTTGCAAATCCTGCAATTGACCGAAATCTGCACGACAGTTTACGAACCGGGTTTCAATTTCGTTGCACGATTTTGATTGGACTATGCATAGACCCGCTAGTCCAGCCAAAATGTAACTCCATGATACCAGCCTACTTTGGCAAGGGTGGAAACTGGACTTTTACAGTAAGTTAACTCTCTGATGGTGTGATAGATTAAGCCAACATTTATCAAAGAAAATATCTGCTTGTAAAACATCTTTGCTGCTGTATGTTATACACCATTTGAAAGGTCTGATCCTATTGTTTATAAATATGAAAATATGTTTATCCTACTATTTAAATAATGCATTTACAACTTAATTAAGCTTCTTGTAAATAAAAAGATGTAAGCTAACACATTCATAACATCCAGATTTAGGCCCAAGGAAGCAAACATTTGACGATTTTTGGCAAATATAAGATTTCATAAAATCCACTTACCTATTTTCAATAACATTGCGGGAAATAGTGAATAATTTCTTAATCTATCGATAAAAAATGATAAAATGATAATTGAAATAGAATACGTATTACAGACATTGTAAAATGTGATAGATTTAATAAATGAATGATATGACAGGTAGGTTTATAAAATTATATACTATTTTGACATGACTATGGATTGGACGGTCTACCAGCCTACGGTGTCTTGATACTTGATGCTTCTTGGTCCGTATAGATGATCTACAGGCCTACGGTGTTGAAAGAGTTAAGCAAGTTAAATTTGAAAACACAAAATCATTGTCAATATACCGCTACATCACAAACATATCGCGATACGTAATTGGTTCAATTTCATATTTCGGTTTACCGGTATACCAGTAATACCGTGCAGCCCTACAATATAAAGATGTAACATTCTTTATATCCATTCACCAACATTGACAAACATCATGCTGTTTGATTGTGTAATCATTAGCCTTTCAAATTTCTTATTGATGATTGGAAAATAGGCTCATTCATATCAGTATCGTATCAGTATTATAAGGGTAACGCTATTTTTCCGGGCATTATCATTGGCAGAAGCCTGAGGTCTTCCATTAACTGCCCGACGAAGGAGGGCAGTTGAAAAGACCGAGGGCTTCTGCCAATGATAATGCCCTGAAAGAGAGCGTTACCGTTATTATAGCTAAAATGGATGGAATTTGTTATCAAATTAAAAGAACAACAATATCAGTTTTGAAACATTTACTGCAATCGACACGAATGTCACTGACCACATTTTACAAATATGGAAACGTCATAGAACAAGTATTTGTCACAGAGTGACGAAATATCCCCCGCCATATACACCATAGTACCAAATATGAAGACAATCCAGCGATTAGTTCTTGAGATATTGTGGCAACACCGTTTTCCAACTCCAAAAACAGATTTGCCTGCTGTGACCTTGAAAATGTATATACACCATAGTTCCAAATATGAAGACAATCCAGTGTTTAGTTCTTGAGATATCGCGGCAACAAACAGGTGGGACGTACGGACGGACGTACGGACGGACGGACGGACGTACGGACGGTCGTGAATACTATATCCCCCGCTTCGCGCTTTCGCGCGGCGGGGGATAACAAACCAGATGACGTCACTATAATACGTGACGTCATTTTCTCTACCCTATGACGTCACCGAACAACGGGCTTGATAATGGCCCGTCGTCAAGCAATATGAGGGCATTATCAAGTTACAATGGCCCGCTTATTTCTAATAACGTGCGGGCGGTTTAATGATAATTCTATCCATTTTAGCTATAATATGTTCTATTTGCTGTCTGCAAAAGTATTTTGTAAAATATTCACTAATCTGGTAGACTTATCTGCATGCTTCATGCGGTAACCTCCCAAAACCCCTACATCCCATTTCCCCTACAGCTTAAGACAACAAAGTTCATGGTCCATGGCACTGCTAATCCCTAGTCTGTTACCTATTTCATACAATGGAACAACCCAAGAAACTCGAATAGATTGAGATAAATATTTAATTACGATTACGATATTATTCAAAATTCATAATACATTATAATAAAATGTTCATTTTTCAAAATTCATAATACATTATAATAAAATGTTCATTTTTCATCTCAACTGTAAATCGTCTCATCTCAGTTTCTCAGTGTAATAATTGTTTCTTCTTATTGTTATTTTTGTAATTTCTAAAAATTGTCTTCTCATCATACAGGCATCTTTCATTACACTTACATTAATTTTTTTTTTAACTTTCCTTTAAGTCCCCTAATCCCCTAAAGCTCTACCCCTTTCATTTCTACTACCTCTACTCCAGACGTTAATCTCTCCTTTAGGTGAGTTCATAATGCCAGACAGGTAAATGCCGCGTGTTGTTTTAACTAATTGTAGGGGAACTGGGTTGTAGGGGAAATGGGATGTAGGGGTTTTGGGAGATAACCCTTCATGCCATATTGGTTCTAATTGCTTTAAAATTAAAGTGCACAATACCTAGCATACATTTAAACAAAATAACAACAACACATACCTCGACAAAATCCTCCAAATAGGGGTCTATAAGGAAATCTTCAAACACAAGAGTGACCAATGTCTCTCCTGCATCAATGATGTAGGTACAGTGCAGGTTGTTGTCATAATAGCCAGGGTAGTTAGGTGAGGAGATGGAGCCAGATGAGCCTGTGTAGCGCCCACCGCATCCTGAAGTAGAAACATTAAGGATTGAATGTATGGCATGTTTACAATGTATCTTTTTATGAAGAAATTAGAGAAATCTGTGAAATTACTGTAGTGTGTGAATGAGTATAAATTAAAAAGATAGTTCCAAAACATAAGATGATGAGTTTTAAATGAGGAAAGGTATTTCTCCGCCAATTCCAGCATAATTAAGAGTAAAGTAAAGAGTAAAGTATACAAGGTTAAGGAAAGATATAAAAGTGTAACTTATGCAGAAAGCCTTTGTCGTTATATCACCAAATAACTAAGTGTAAAGAGGATGAATTACATGTCCTACTTATGTGTGACAGATAAACTGCTCTCAACAATTCCTACTTGGAAAGAAATCTTGTATCAAATTCTGTTCAATGAAGTAAGGATATATGGATGAACAACTTCTTTATTACAATTGGAGCTACGTTTAGGTGTAGGTTGTAACACTGTTATCAAGTAAGTGATGTGACACATCACAGCACATCAAGTGATCAAAATAGCTGCCTGATGGCTATCCAGTTGTTGGTAACCTTTCTGTAGGGATAGGTGAAACTGATTCCTACCTGCCCGACTCTGTTGTAGAAAATTTCATTACCTCACTGACAATTTTGAATCAGACATTGATATGTGACTCACTTACCTGAGAGCAAAAGCTATCTCAGTGATCAGATAGCTTTAAATCTGAGAAAAATGATTATCTACTCTGCATGTATTTACAAATGCCGACCTTCAACTTTCAATACAGGCAAGTTGCATTTATAAGCCACCAGCCCACTGACACTAAGCAAATCACCAACTGATACGCTCCTATTGTAAAAAAGAGGCTGTTCATCCATATATCTTATCCTTACTTAGTTCTCAATTTTCTAAATGCCTCGCAAAGACTTTTCTGTTTAACACTTTTCTGATACTATCACCTCTGAAAACATTGATATATTACACTAGTCCTAATTTCTCTGAGTAACTCAAGCTCATATATATAAAGCACAGTAAAGTTCTAACTCTCAGGCACAATATAGTAATAATTAAATAAGTGGAGTTAGATTGAACACAGTTTGTGTGGCTGCTTTATTTGTGAACAGTGAAGATTCATTCTTTTTAATCTAAGTTCTGTCTTTCTGATATACTTTTCATTGCATCCACTACAAACAATCAATCTAAACTCGTACATCACAAAAAAAGCAGCCACACAAACGTAAGATTCCACTCAGTGAACATTTAGATACATGTGGAAGTGGCAATGTTTTAGTTTTCCCGCTATATAAGCTAAATTTTGATCATGAACCTACATCGTTTCAAAAAGAGCAACATTTCATTCATAAATACACACCTAAGTTAAATGTAAAGGCGTAAGTTATTTGTCCATTGTCACCTTGGTATTGTGATGTCAAAGTTCTCCCAAATGTTATGACGTCACGTAACTGTATGTTACTACTTCAAGTCCGTTATTCAGCTATGGCCTGATGAGACTTGTACGCGGTGAGTTGAAAGCGCTAACCAATTAAAACTGTGTTCAATCTTACTCCACTTAGTTAATTATTACTATATATATAATTACCCAGTAATAAAGGGGAAGAACAGGTGGCCAAGTGACACTGAAAGTTGTTGTGGCCCTTATTATTTGGCAACTCTCTTCTAAAAAGAGGGATTTTTATATAACAAGCTGGGTCCACATTTCCATACTGGAAACATTTGCTTTCTTTATTCCAAAATAAAATTCAGGTTTCCTTAAGAATCAAATGTCATCATAAAAATCAGCTAGAACTGTAGGTTTCCGAATTATATTCGCTACCAAATGTGTACAAACTGCAAAATCAAACAATCAAACTGAGACCCTGAAAATAAGGTCAATATCACAACAGCAAAACAGCGTTATCACTACCCCCCGCCATTGGGCACATTAGAATTTTGTTTGTTCATAAAGTATTGAATATAATTACATTTTGTACTAACTACAAAGTGGCTTTATCACACGTATCCAAACCATGGGCTAATTACTGCTGTAACTCAATCCCCCCACCCCCAGGTCAGCACCCTGCCCCGTGCCTAGGGCACAAGCGTCACCCCTCCTTTGTTCCATCGTCTATAGCCATTCGTGCAACTTCTCTCTTCAAATACACACGTTTCGCCATATCTAATTGCTCTCGCTTTGTTCGTTTTCTTTGTTCACAATCGTGTTTGATTTGCTGATTTACACTTCGAATACCATCCATTTCAGCACTCGATCGTATCAAATTTATTTTGCTTCACTCTCGAAGTTCACCCCAGGGACATTTACCACTTGATGATTACCACCTTCATCAACTCGACTCTCCGTGATGCCTCCCAAGAGAAAGAGCAGCCATCAACCACAACTCATGAGGGGTGCCAAGCAGGCAAGGACAACCTGGATGCAAACCCAGGGAGTTCATATAAGTACAGGAGGCCACAGCCGATGGGGAGTTTTCGAATAACGGGAGTATAGCATGTCCACAATTCCTCCCAACAACGCAATTAACATGCAATCTGCACAGCTTATAAATGCCGCGCAGGCTACTAACTCGGATAGCCAGGTAAACCAACAACTAGATAAAATACTTCAGTTACTAGAACATTCAGCACCCAACCCGGTCAGCACATACCAAGAGGTACAGCTCGGCTTCGGTTCACCCACCATAGGGAGAATCACCGAAGCTCTTAACATGGATGCCAGTGACACGGCTTGGTCAGACAAGAAAGGTAAATTCAATGGCCCCTTCCCCAGTAGATCTCAATGAAATGGCACCCTGGTTACACCAAAATGCTCAATTATATAAGGTCAATTATAGAGACGCAGATTACTTATAGGTAGGTTTTAGTTTTGGTTTCAAGCTTGAGTTCCAGGGTAGCCACACGAGCCGCCTTGCACGAAACTTGCGTTCAGAGATTCACAAAGACACGGCAACCTACATTAAACAAAAGCTACAAAAGGAAGTGGACCTTGACAATGTTCAAGTATCCCCAATAGGTCTGGTGCCAAAGAAGCAGCCAGGCCACGTTCAACACTCAGGTAAGCACGCGGATGAAATCCGACTAATTCACCATTTATCCTATCCAAAGATCAAATCTATAAATGACCTTATAGACGCAGAGGCCTGCTCCGTGGTGTATGCCAGATTTGATGAAGCTATTCACATGGTTCAACAACTGGGAAAGGGAGCATTACCAGCAAAATTCGACATTACGTCCGCCTTTAGAGTTATACCATTTCACCAATCCAATTTCGTTCTTCTTGGCATCAGATTTGAAGGTGAGTTCTATTTTGATAAATGCTTACAAAATACTATCGATGATAATTTTAGCTCATCCCTCCAAAATGACATTTGACATCATGAGAAATGAGTCATAATGGTCATTCCCCAATTTCCACAGTAATTAGTTTTACCATCAAGCCCTTCTGACTAACCAATTTGATTACCTCCATAAGGTCATTGGTCAACTCGGACATACTCATATAATCAAATTCCCTTAAGTACTCTGCCAGACTGGAAGGCGCCGAAAAAGATACTTAATCATGTTATTTAGACATTTCAATCAAGCAGTAGTACTCAGAAATATTTGATCACCACAAGTCTTAACCATTTTGTTCCATCCATCTCTCTCCCTTCTAACATTCCCCTTTCAAGACCAATTCTACTAATTCATTGTACTAATGAAAAGTTTATACTCTATCACTTAAGAGAAGCAAAACCAATAATCACTTGCCCCAGGGGTGATGCCCTCACCCTGCTCAATCACTTCTCTCATATGCGTCTATATTTTACCCAAAAGTAAACTACATTTTAAGTAAATACCAAAAACCCTTTTTCTAAAATACCCTGGTTATACTATACCAATGGGGAGGGCATTCAGCCGTAGGCTTATTGATCTGCTCAGCAAAAGTAAACAACCATTTTACCACATTAGGATTACCAACTGGGTCAAGGAAGACTTACAAATGTGGTTAACATTTCTCACCCGTTATAATGGCATTTCAGTGTTTCAGGATCAACTACAGGTAGACAGCCATTTGCTTTAGCTGTGTACAGATGCAGCCGCTGGGGCTGGCTTTGGGCCCTACCTGGAGGGCAAATGGTTTAGTGGCAGATGGCCAAACCAATGGGTGACGGATGGAACTACATGCGACTTGCCCCTACTGGAGCTATTCCCCATCTCACTGGAAAAGGTCCTCTTCTTCTGCGACAACCAAGCCGTCGTCGCAATCATCAACAAACAGTCTACCAAAGCCCCAAAAGTGATGATCCTACTCCGCTACCTAATCCTGCAGTGCCTCCGGTATAATATTCTGTTTAAGGCAAAGAATGTCTGTACCGATGCTAACACTATTGCCACTATTTCCCCAATCTCAAAAACATTATCAGCTAATCACCGCAATCATGTAACACCGGAAATAGTCAACAAATCTGAACTGAAGTTAATCCTTTTACTATAATATCTGGTTATAAAAAGGTGTTCATTGTTTATCTGGACTAATGTTTGCAATATAGTTATTAATTTTATTCATAATTTCATTCAATAATTATTATAATGTTCACAATAATTTCGGTGAAATCGTATGCGAAGTGATCAGTAGATACAACATACAACTCAGTTATTTACAGCAACCACAGTCAGGTTACTGCTATTGACGCCTTGAAACAAACTTCAGTAGCAAGAGAATGGATACACATATCATAAATGCCATACCTTGACTCGTTACAAGTCATATTTGAGGCAGTTGGACTTTTAAATGTCAACATAACGTTTTCGTAATGGAAATACATGTAGCGCGGGAAGTCCCTACGGTGACTGGTCAGATTGTTCCATACGTAAACATATCCTGCATACCATCTGTACCAAAGTGCTACGCTTATGGTTCTTATAATTTTAAATATATACAGTGAAAGCTGCAACTAAAATAACAAACACGATATTGGAATATATTATTCCTGATAAAATAATAATTTCAGATACAATTTCTTTCGACCATTGCATCGAAATTCTTTGAAGTTGAGTACTTTTTGACTGAATCACCGGTAGATCGGGAGGAAACGTGTGCAGAGCTGATTGCTATTTCCGGCTTAGTTTACGAGAAAATACACACGGTCATCTAAATCTCTGCATATTTATCAAACAATGTCTTGGAGAGCAGGAAATACAATGGTAAATCATCATGTCTAGTCATTTTTTATATCAAATTTCATCTTTTTAACTGACCAAGTTTGTTATACCTGTTTATTCGCCTGAATTCACTGAAGGGATATGATGTGTTTTTTAGTGCATATTAATACTCGATAAATCGTTTTTTACACTATGAATCATTAACAACTTCTATTCTAATCTTTTTTTAAACTCTGAAACGTGCAACGTAGATGGTGGTAGGTAGGCAGAGCATGTATACTGTTTTGTTGGTCATCTACTACCTACAACTCCACCTCGGCTAAACCGCTGATCATTCATAATTCTTATCAATTATTTGGACCCTAAAGGTAGCGTTGTAGCGAGGGATTACTGTAGTACCTGCACACCCTCGGCCATTTAATCCACTCTTATCTCGTTTTTATTATAGGCTAGGGCATCCACAGTTTGGTGGCCTGTGCCTCTCCTTTAACATAGACTATAAAAAAAGAGTCCTATTGAGCCTTCAGAAGAAAAAGCCACTTTGGCCACTTATGTCATCAGAAAAAATGATTAAATGTGAAATTAATACACACAAAAGGTGCCGTCTCTGGAAAAAACCCTTCAGTCTTTCTAAGTATCTCTTACATAACCTAACTTCAGCACATGCACCAAGTAAAATTTCATGGATCAATGGGGCGTAACTCTGTAAAGAAATAATTCACGCACCAATTACCGAACTCAGTCTTGACAAGTATGTCTTACATAAGCATTTGAGGTGTAACGATACGGGAGGGTCGCGATACAATACATATCACGATACAGGGGTCGCGATACGATACGTATCACGATACAGTGTTTACTGGTTCAAGCTAAGCCAAGTTGATGTCTTTCTGCTCTCTAAAAGATGTGACAAGTACAGCTGAAGAAGATATAAGGTGTTTATTTACTGTTATAGCAAATTGTCAGCAATACAGTATGCTTTACTGAAACAACAAACTGGCTTTGAAACTGTTAAACATATTTCATGTATTTTCTTGAGTATAGTGCGCACCAATGTATAATGCGCACCCCCCTCTAGCAGTTTCAATATTTTGGAAAAAAAGAAATTTGAATATTATTCGCAGATAAAAATTAGCGAAGTCCGGCAAATGAAAGGGTGATGAGAAACTTCGTCAGTACAAATTCGAAATTTGAGATAAAAAAATCACCAGACATGTTGATTTACCGTTTAAATTGTATTTTTTGTTCATTTAGGCATTGTTTGTATTCAGGGATTAAGATTACCTTGTGTATTTTCTCGTAAACTAAGCCGGACACAGCAATCAGCTGTACACACGTTTTCTTGGAATCTACCGGTGATTCAGTCAAGACACACCCAATGATATAACTTTACAGGATTTTAATGCACGGATCGACAAGAGTTGTACCTGAAACTATTTTTTTATCAGGAATAATATATTCCAATATCTTGTTCATTTAGATGCAGTTTTTACTAAACATATTTCAAATACCGTATTCGACGTAGTAAGCGCCGCGCTCTAATAAGCGCCCACGGCGATATTTGCTGATATAATGGCCGTTGAACAATCCCAATTAGCACCCCTTCCGATTGATCAATGTACACAAGACTTATTTATTCGCGTATAATACGCACTCATGTGTTATATGCACCCTTAATAATGGGCAATTAAATTCGGGAAAAATATATCTGTCGTACATGAATATTTTAGGCTGTCAGCATAAACCACGAATTTTATCTTTCAACTCAGTTTTTTTCACTAAAATAATAATCCAATAAGAGCCCCCGATTTTTTTATTTTGAGAGCGCCCTGGGCGCTTATTACGTCGAATACGGTAATAATATTAACCCTAAGCGAAGCAGCTGATCGCTATTGCCGGGTATTTTTTTTTACATGGAAACCAGTCTGACCAGTCACCGTCAAGGCTCACGTGCGCGTGATC